GGAGGAAAACATGATAGGGGAACTAGTGATGGTAGGACTTACTGTAGAGACTTAGAAAAGTGTCTCCGAGGAGCAGAGGCTTAAAGGATAAGACAGAACAGTCTCCTTGGGCTGCCAGAACAAATTACCACAAACCTGATGGCTTAAAACAATAGACATTTATTCTCTCCCAGGTCAGGAGGCCAGAAGTCTGAAATCAAGGTGTCGGCAGGACCGTGTTCTCCCAAAAAGCTCTAGGAGATTTCTCTTTGCCTATGCCAGTGGCTCCTAAGTGTTCCTTGGCTTGTGGCAGCATAACTCCAGTCTCTGCCTCCATTTTCACATGGCCTTCTTCCCTGGGTGTCTCTGTCTTCTCTTTTTGTGTGTCTAATAATGACACTTGATTTAGGGCCCAGCTTAATCCAGGATGACCTCACCTTGAGATCCTGATCTAAACTACATCTGCTAAGACCTTTATTACAAATAAGATCACATTCTGAGGTTCTGTATCTCTTTTTTTGTCTGTTTTGATTTGGGGGGCCGGGGAATACTATTCAACTACTACACATAGCCAGCTGTCAAAAAGGCTTATGAAAAATGAGTTTTAGGAACTGCTAAAAGGCTAGCATTGTTGAAGCCCAGTAATAAACAAGGTTGTTTATTATAAAATATGTTGAGATTGAAGAGGTAGGCAGTCACCAGATCATGCATGGCATTCTATGCCATTAGTGGAGTTTGAATTATAAATACAATGGACTCTATTAAGCACAATGGGAACGCCAAGATCTGATTACACACACACACACACACACACACACACACACACACACAGTTTGCTTTGTGGAGAATGGATTAGAGGAAATGGCAGACCAGTTAGGATGCTATTACCGTATCAGGCAAGATATGAAATAAAGGAAACTTGGACTAAAATGGTGTGGAGATGGACAGGATTAGACAGTTTTGACATATATTTTGGAGAAAGAATGGATGGGACTTAGTAATAGTTGGGTACACGGAAGGGAGGCAGAGGTATCAAGGATGATGAGTATAATCTTATGAGTATAATCTGTCATTTACTCTGATGGGAAGGATTAGCAAAGAAACTGTTAGGCAGTATGGAAATGAGACTCGAAAAGTCCAGATTATATATCTATGTATGTCTCAGGGTATGTAATAAATCACTAGCACTAGTTAGGTCCAAATAACTTAGTAGGTATTTATGTCCTGACAATTTAGTAGCCATTTGAAAAAATAATAGACATATATTAAAAGAAAAACATTTGTATTTCTACCTACCCCACTCATATCCCAACATGAACTTTAGAGAGAGGTGTTTAGGGTTCACTCATTCTGGGATGCCATTCTCAAAACACGCTATACATCCTAGCACCCATGCATACACATATATAGTCCTCATTCTGCGAAGATAGGAGTAGCTAAGAGGCTTTGAGTTTGATTTCCAGCCTTCTCTTGTGCTTAAGTTGCATATACTAAACATGATTTAAATTTCTTACTGACACAGTAAAGCACTGTGAGCATCAAACAGTATATCCTAATAACAGTGATGCCTTAGATCCATGCAATCTAATACATAGCCACCTGGGGCTATTTAATCTAAACTCATTAAAATTTAATACAATTAAAAATTGCTTTCCTCAGTTGCACTGGCCTCATTTCAAGTGCTCAAGAGCCACCTGTAGCTACAATGCAGGTTATAGAATCTTTTTATCACTGCAGAAAGTTTACTTATTAATACTATCCTAGAGGCTATAGGAATATAGAATAGTACTTATCCTTATACTAAGGACCTCTAAATGTTATACTTTTGTTTTTCTATTTGTTACTCAGATTTTTCTGTCTTCTCCCTCACAACGCTATGTCATCAGTTACCAGCTTGCTGCTAATGTGCCTATCTTTACAGCTACGTCCTGCACCCCATGCACAAAGTTGCTTCCAGTTGCTGAAACCTGAAGAAAAAATTAACCAAATAGAGCAAGACTATACCCAAAGTAGATTCTAGAAAAGGCCCTCAGGACCTAAAATTTCATCATGATGATTTCGACTTTTCAGAGACTTCTTTTCCTTTCTTTCTTATTCTCAGACCTGTTCAAGATGGTAAATCAATTGTTAGTTACCGTAAAGTTGCTCCTCATTATTTATGGATTCGCCTACTCATTAAAATTTATTTGTAATACAAAAATCAATACGCACAGCACTTTCAGTCATTCCCTGATATGCTCAGAGCAGCACAAAATTAGAGTTTCCTGATGTACACGCTTTCAGCTTCGGGCGAACAAGGGACGCTACACCTTCTTGTTTCCACTCTCCTACTATAAACAAGTATACTTTATACAGTCTATTTAGTGCTGCATTTTTTATATTTTTGGGCTTTATGGTGGTGATTTCGCTGTCTAATTTGGTTCCCAATTATAGTGCTGAAGTGCTATCTAGTGTTTCTAAATACAAGAAGGCTGTGATGTGGCTTACAGAACAAATATGTGTGAGATAAGCTTCGCTCAGGCATGAGTTATAGTGCTGTTGGCTGTGATTTCAATGCTAATGAATAAACAATATATATAAAATAAGGTCTTTAAACAGAAACACATACAGAGTAAGGTTATGTATTGACTGGCTGATGAAAATGTTGTGATCAGAGGCTCACAGGAACCTAACTCTATGAGCTACAATGAAAGAACCACTGGACTGGCACAATCTAAACATCAGCCATAGAAAGTGATGGGGACAATACTGTCATAGCGACTTCATCCACTGCTAGTGACAGTATAAATTATACAGCCATTTTATAAAATAGCTTTGCTTTTACCTGATAAAAGTTGAACGTGTGCATACCCCCTAAAGAAACTCTTGTACATGTGTACCAGGAGACAACACACAAGAATGTTCATAGCACCCTGTTCATAATAGCAAAAAACTGTAAAAAACCCAAGAGCCTATCAACTACAAAATGGAGAAATACATTTGGCATACTCACACACTGGAATACAAAACCATAGTGAAAATTAACAAACTACAAACAATTATACTCAGAAACATTAATAAATATAATGGTAAGCAAATAAAAAAAGCAAGTCACAGAAGATTTATAATGATTCATTTTATATTTATGTAAAGTAAAAGCCAGACAAAATTTAAATCATAGGATATTTATAAATATATACATATATAGTACTGTGAAAAAATGCTTAACAAAATATTAAGTAATAGTTACTGGGGTGGGGTTAGACGACAGATATTAGATGGGGTTCACAGGAGGCCTCAAAAGGTTGTGGTTGTTTTCCATTTCTAAAGATGGCTGATGAATAAATAGGTGTTTCTTTTATTATTCTTCATGTTGTATATGTAAGTTGTGAATATACTCGTATAGTCTTTGGACATGTATTTTGCAACAAACATTTAAACATCAGGTGATCCAAATGGTATGCAAACAGTAAAAAACCATTGTAAGAGGAAATATAAGTACAGACACTAGGTTTCTAAGAATTACACTAGAATTAAAAAAAAAAATAAAGCAAGGGCTGGCTGAGTGGCACATTGGTTAAGAGCTGGCTTGGGACGCCAGAGGGCCCCGGTTCGGTTCCCACATATAAGGGCCAGTGACACTGCCCTCTACAGCTAAGATGCTGAACAACAGCTCAACCTGGAGCTGGGCTGCCGTGAGTCGCCTGCGACGNCACATCAACTGCATTATTATTGTATTCTCCTAATGAAAAATGTTCAATGTTAATTAAAGAATGGAAATGTGTGATGACCTAGTGTCATTAATGTACAGCTGAAAAGAACATAAAATATTCAAGCAGTAAGAAGAAAACTAAAAAACAATTTACACCCATATCTTACAACTTAACCAGAGTCAAATATTAGAATCTGTCAAAGAATTATTTAATTCTTACTAAGTTGCCAATCTTCCTTATATAGATCAACAAATTTTCAAGGACAACCTTACTGTGTTGGTTTACTAGCATTCACTTTATCCTAAATAAAAATAAACCCATATTACCTCTTTACTTAAACAACTAGGACCAACACAAATATTTACGGGAAGGTCGCCTACCTTCAGGTTGCCTGATGTCCTGAAATGCTTTCATGACTTAAATCAAATACAGTATGAATGTAACATTTACTTATCTAAAATACTGTGCTAATGGAACATACCATGTCACAAGCATATTCTAAAACTCCATGGCTTTATGTGCCCATTCCATGGGCGATCTGACTTTTCATTACCTATGGGGTGAATGCGCACTTTCATTTGTGGAGGTCAACGTCATTAAAACTCCAATTGGCTGAGCTCCTTCCAAATGGTGCTAGGTAGTATACCGTGCTAGGTGCAGTCACATGCTTTTTCTCTTTTTAGTCTCCAATTTATGGTCAACTCCCAGAATATTATTTCTGGATTAGTGTAATCAATCTTAATATTTTGGATAGAATCTATATTTTTACAGCAAAGATTTTGATTAAAGTTCAAAGTATTTTTGAAGACAGTAACAGTTCAAAAATGAGACTGAAAAATAAAACTAAAAATAAAATTAAAAAAAAAAACCTCCAAAAATTGTTATTCTTTCTTGTTTCTTAACAATATTAACTAATATCTGGTGGTTAAAAAAAAAAAAGCTAACTCAAGCCACAATATCAAAAGCAGGCACTACAAACAGAACAGTGCAAATATTCTTTCCTCTCTTGAAAGAAAAATGAAACCATTCAGATTTAGCTACAGAGAGACTAAACTAAGATTGCAGCTTGCTTAGAAGAAAATTCTTTCCTCCCCATTATCATAGCTCACCTGGACAATAACTCGGTCATATTTTCTTCATTCATTCCACCAAAGACTTTAAATTTCTTCAAATTGCAGACATGAGTTTTCTCATATTTTCCAAATGTGATATTCTGGACTATAGCAGGCCTTTCAAGCTTCAGAATCAAGTACTAAAAAAAGAGAACAAACAAATTATATCCTCCTCCATGTAAAACAAATAATTAGACAATTTCAAAAGTTAAAATTTTAGACCATTAACAGAAGAACATATAAGATCCTGTCCATCCTGCATTGGCAGATTTTCTTATATTAATGCTGAAGAACAGTACACCCAACAACCTTATTATTATATATAGGCTACCATAACACTACCACTTTTTCCCAGGAAACTACACCACCCTGAACACTTTACATGAAGCAGAAGAAAAAAGGATGAGTGAGATAACTTATAATCAAGCAATGGCATTCAATAAAAGATATAACAGACTATGAATAACCAAATAAAACAACATTAAAATGCAAAAGTAACAATTATATTCTCATCCACTACAATTCAATAGCAAATTCAATGTTCAAAATTTTAACCCTCCGTCGGGCGCAAATGATCTCACAGATTCATTGCACACAAATTTTCAAATATCTAAGTTAACTTAATTATCGTGACTCATCACTTCCATATCTCCCGCCTCTACCGTAACCTATCGCCAGTCGTGTTTGTGACCTAGTACAGCAAAGACGTATTTCATATTTGAAAATTTGTGTGCAATGAATCTGTGAGATCAGTTGCACCCGACAGAGGGTTAAACCTAGAAACAGAAATTTACCAATCACCCCTGCCAATTTTATAAATTACAAAACCCAGACCTACTATTCCAACAGTTGTACGTGAATGTTCAGGGCAGCACTGTTTGCAATGGCCAAAGGTGAAAATAACTCAAATGTCCATCGACTGGCAATAAACAAAACGGGAGTATTTCTATTATTCAGCCACAAAAAGTAACAGTGCATTAATATAAGCTACAACGTGGAAGCTCAAAAACATGCTGAGTGAAAGAAGTCAGACACAAAAGGTCATGTATTGTATGATTCTATTTACATGAAATATTCTGAACAGGTAAATCCAGAGAGGCAGAAAACAGATTAGCAGTTGCCAGGAGCTAGGTTAAGGGGAAAAGAGAGTCTGATTAATTGATACCGGGTTTCCTTGCGGAGTGATGAAAATATTTTGAAACTAGACAGAAGTGATAGTTGTACTAAATACCACTGAATTGTATGCTTTAAAATGATTAGTTTTATGTTACATGAATTTTACCTCAATAAAGTAAAAGAATGAAGCTGTGGTGACTTGAAAGATGATGATATAATCAGAGCTAATATTTTGTGAGCAGTAACTGTTGTCTATCACATTGCTCAGATTTTTACATGCATTATCTCATTTTAGTAGGAGTAACAGTGGTAGTATTTTAATAACAATAATTATCCTCTTTTCACAGATGAAGAAATTCTGGCTTGGAACGGCTAAATAACTTGACTATTTACACAGCTAATAAATGATAGAGGTAAGCTCTGGAAGACACTGTTGGTTGGCTGACCAAACCTCCATTCTTTTTTTTTTTTT